TATGTCGAAAAACTATCAGAGTTAATTTTTGGTCAACTTTAAACCTGAAATGTACATTAATCCTGAGGCGCTTTTGATTAAAATACTATCCAAATTAGGTGAAAAATTCCTTGCTGTACTTGAAAACTATATATTATTATCTCTGATGAGCACTTTAAAAATAAGATCATTTCCTATCAGATAAAATTTTTGTAGCAGCAATATTTATTTTCTGTTCGAATTTTAATTTAAAATTTACGTACTGTTGTTCATAGAATGAAAAATAAGATAATTTCCATTGGAAAATTTTCAGTTCTACGTTATTTTCCTGAAGAAAGACGGATGCGCCGTGGGTGAAGATTTGATTGCTGCGGCCGTGCAGGGCATCGTCAAGGACGCGACGGCCCGCAGCTCGATGAATGGCCTTCAGCCGGCCGTCGGGCTTCTCACGACCGACAGAAGGGACACTTGGGCCCAGGTCCGGGAGCTTCTTGCCCAGAGTGAGATTTAAATCTTCTAATTTTGGCTAATCGTAATGAAATTAAATTTTACATTTAAACTACTTAATTAAAATTCCGTCGTTTTTCGAAGATAATACACAATTATTGAATGGATAATAAATTCATACATAAATAATTAATAGGAAACTGCGTAGGCCGATTTGTCGACAAGATTTCCATGTCGACGACAAAATCGCGTCATCGGTGGCTGTCACGTGACGTCAAAGAATTCAAATTTAGCGTAATTAATTTACCTAATTCAAATATTTTTCATTTATATGGATGTAATTAGATCGAATAGAGTATTTAAATTTAAATTAATGCATAATTTGAAGATAAATCAAGAATAAAATCATTTTAGCGCCAGAATTCCATCATCAAAGTATCCAAAATTACGCAACTCGTGAAATACCGGCAGTGATTTTCGTACTTTTTTGGGGAAAAAAGGTTAAAAATGGTTTGGGGGTTGGATAGGGTGAAAAGGTGGTGTCCACCTACCTTTAGAACGTCCTGAACCTGGTCCTGGCCTCGGGTCGACCTGCTCTGCTCACGGTCCTCACGGAATCCCCCTCGTAACCGGCCTTCTGCGTCTTCTTCATCTCGAAATCCGACGCACTTTCACACTTCACGTCGTCCGATGCACAAATTCACCTTCCGCGCACTCGAAAACTGCAAAATTCGCGATTTTGGCGCCGAAATTCGCGAAATCCGGGACCGAAACCGAAAGGCGCGCGCTGCGCTCGCCGCAGCTTGACGCGAACTCACTGGAAGAAGGTGGCGCGGACCGAGTTGCGACGAGTCGAGACAGGTTGAAACGTCTCTCGCGGAGGAAAACGTCGCCTGCGAGCGACGAGGGTGCGTGGGGAGGGAGGAGAAAGTAACAAAATTTCCTCAAGGCCGAGGTTGGCGCGCCAAATGAACCGCGTGAATTGCGCGCGTTTGCGCGAAAAGAGATGATTGAAATAGTTTTAAAACGAAATCGAGCCGACTAGGCGACTATTCTCAAGGTAATCTACGCAAATCCATTGTTCTACTGGCCCTTATCAATTTAACGACATGATAATTATGCATATTTGTGACAAACCCAGACGTAAGCATTTTAAATTTGATTTTATTGTTCAATTTTTGAATTTTAAATCTCTATTCTGTCGTAAAATTCAACATTTTTGTAATATTCGCCTCATTTAACATTCAAAATAAATATAATTTATTACGAAAAAGGTATCCACTCGAAATTTATTGCAATGCCAATTTTTTTATGTAAATCTTTTTGGAATAGATTTTAATTAAGCAAAAAAAGTGAAAATAAATGTATTAAAATTATTTTTAAATAATTGTTGGCCATATTTGGAAACTCAAGTCATTTGGCCTTAAAATAAATTAGATTCGCATGTGTTTTTTTCTCTTCAGAATTTTCCAGAACTTCAAATAATGAGTATGATTCTATTTACTAATTATTTTCTTTACACAAAACCAAAAACCTAATCATAAATATGTTGTATTTTTATTTTCAGCAAGCAATTATGAACCGAAAACCCAAATAAAAATTAAAAAATAATGATAATGAGAAGAAAATTACAGAATGATCATGCAGACCTAAATTTCTCACTTCATAAACGCCTCCTCGAGCATTAAAATGAAAAAATTTTCTGCAAAAATGAACAAGGATTCCTTGCCATGCATTAAAAACCAAATGATTTCAAGAATTATTTGCTAATTTTATATTTCCCAAATCAAAGGTGACAAGAACTGCGACAACATGGAGCTGATCCAGAGCTCGCTGGCCCTGATCTGCATGGATGATCCACTGCCGACCAGCTTCAATTACCGAGCCCTGACAGACAACTACAAAGGTCATAAGGTTGGGGCCAGGGACGAGACTAACATGGCTCATCAAATGATCCACGGCGGCGGCAGCGCCTTCAATACCAGCAATAGATGGTTCGACAAAACTATGCAGGTTAAAACAAAATCTATAGGTTTGAAATTGCATTTTGTTCTTCCTTCATTTAGTTTGGTTTAAAAAGTTTTTTTTTAATTTCTTCAAATTAAATTACATGTAAAATGAAATTAAACTATCATTCAATTTTCATCACCTCGTTAACGTTTCTAAGAAAGTTTTCACCTGCATGAAATTTTATTTTATTTTGATGAAATGAATAAATAAAATCAAATTTTATAATTCACACAATTTCAATTAATAATAAATTCCCTTTTTTTTTAATTTGCAGTTTGTGCTGAGCAGTGATGGGGTGTGGGGATTTTGCTACGAACACTCTCCGGCCGAGGGGGTGGCCGTAGTGCAACTGGTCGAGCAGCTTTTGAAGCAAACTGAAGAGCCGCTCACCTACCCAAAGACGTCCATTCCAGCCCCGCAACCCTTGCAGTGGCAGCTCAGCGGACCACTCCACCAGCACATACAAAACGCCGCCAGCAATGTCAACAGGTAAAACACTGCTTAAAAAAAACCTTTGTAACCTAAATTAGAAAGGTGGGAAAGAAAATGTTTCTTATTTCACTAAAGAAATTTTAAATTTTTCAACTAAATGTCCTTGTGCAGTTTGCTGCAAGACTTGGACTTGTACATATATCGCTTCTTGGGCTACGGCAAGGACAGCATCAAATTGTGCAAAGTTAGCCCGGATGCGTATATCCAGCTAGCCCTGCAGCTCGCGTACTTCAGGTCAGCAAACTTGTTCATGGAGCACGCGAATGCTGGAAATTTTATGTGTTTTGCACTTATTTCTGTATTTGTCCTCAGCACCATTTCATAAATCAAAATTTTTTGTTTTCAATTATAGAGTTTGGATTATTTTCAATGTTATTATCTACTGCGGAATAAATCTGCAAATTCTGATCGTTTAAATGTGTCAAATATTTTCAGATAAATTTATTTTTACTTTTAATACAGGCTTAATCAAAAACTAACGGCTACTTATGAAAGCGCTGGGACAAGAAGGTTCCGAATGGGCAGAGTGGACTGCATCAGGTCTGCGAGTCTCGAGGCGATGGCTTGGGTCGAGGCCATGTGCCGCTTAGAGGCTGAGGGAGCAGCCTCCAATCATTCCGAAGTACAAAAACCACAATTATAGCTGATAATATAGTTTTATTTCAATAATTTTCATAATTTTAGATGTGTCTGGAGTTGTACGACAAGGCAGTGGCAAAGCAGACCTTGGAAATGGTGGACAACATTTTGGGCCAGGGAATCGACATTCACCTGTTGGGATTGAATAAGGCAGCGAAAGAAAATCTGCACTCGGAGCCGGAGATTTTCTTGGACAAGGCCTTCTCCAAACTCAACCACTTTTCCCTCTCAACTAGTCAGGTATAAAGGAAAAAAATTAGTAAAAATTTCAAAATTTTCACAAATTATTACAATTATTACAAATTTTAAAATCATTTTCTAGGTGTCAACTGTTAGCGACAGTTTCATGGGTTACGGTCCAGTCGTGCATGACGGTTATGGGGCCTCGTACAATCCTCGGAAGGACAGCATAATTTTCTGCCTGTCCGCCTTCAAGTCGTGTGAATCGACCAGCACGTGGAAATTCGCTAACAGTCTGGAGAAGAGTTTACTTAGCATGCAGCAGCTGCTTGCATCCAGATCAAGGAAATAATTAAAAACTGTTATAACACAAAACGTTCAAGCGCAATGTTCTCTAAATGTTAATTAGATAAGAGAGATTTATTTAAAAATCAGCAGAGCTGCTGGATTTATTGAAATCAGAGCACAATATTTACACACAACAATATATTTATTAGATGTGAATTAGCTGAAGAGCAATAAATAAATTAAGGTAGTCGCTGAAATTAAAAGGTTGACTACCTGGAATTCGAAAAATAATCACATTCAAAATCATAAAAGGATATGTTTACTGCAGTTTACTGTTTTTGTGATATAGGCATTATTGTACTGGTTATGTAATGTCCTAATAGAAAGATGCAATATACATACTGGTTGTTATATTTGGAAAATGTGTGAAAATTCATCGTGATACAAAATTAATGGAAAATTGAAAATAAAATAAATGAAATTATTTACTATATTATGTTTCCACCACCCAATAAATTGGTTTTGCCACGGCCACTACTGATAGACCAGCACGTCCTTTTTTGTATCAACTAAAAATATTTTATTGTTTTAAATGCTGCCAAGCTCATTTCAATTATTTTTGTTAATTTTTTTCAGCAGTGGCCATCATTTAACGCAGCTTAAAAACAAAAAGAGTTCGTCGAATTTCGTATTAAACGTAGCCTGGGCATAGTGGGCGGATAACTTGGGGTGCAAAGTTCACCCTTATCAACACGAAATCCTGCGCCCCCGGCCGACTTCAGCAAAGAAAAACCCTTCACTCGCAGTCCCAGTATGAGAAATCACTCAGGTTCCCCCGAAAAACTTCAGCCCAACTCCACCTGGAGTGGGAATCGAACGCATAATCTCCAGGATTTGGAAAAGGAGTGGCACGTGCGATTGGCGCCGTTTTGCGGCTCAAAAACAAAAGCAAGTCGCCATGCGCAGGGACCTTTAACTTCTGTTGCTTGTAGGATGTTGCTCGCCTTGCCGTCGCTGTAAATTCAAGTTTTTCCCCAATTAAAAGGGTGACGATTTCTCCGGGAAGGTGCCGAAACGCTTGCCAAAGGTGTCTGAAGCTCGGCAAATCGGAAAAAAATCGCCGATTCGCCGCTGAAACGAATCAAATTTGATGCCGGTTGTGAGGCACCGGAAGGAAGCGTCGCTCATGTATTTTTATTCTTGCTAAGGTTAGTAGCCTTTTTCGCTGTTTGTACTTAATTTTGAATCTAAAGTTGGTACTTTTTATTTCCGAAATTGAGCTGAACGGCCTCTGAATTTGGTTGGTCATCGATTGATGACCCGTCGAGACTAGGGGCCCCATTGACGGTTCCTCAAACCAACCAAAATGGAGGCTGGATGTGCTCTTGTTTGTCAACATAAGCACGAATTTCGGGATAACTTTTCCAAAACCAACCCTTTTATTAAGCGGAACAGAGAAATTAATCGCTCGGTTATCCTTGAAATTTAATTCGGGCAAACGGCGAGAAATTGTTATGTTTTGTGCTTAGGCTTTGGCCAACTGTTTGCCCACTCACCATCATGACTATTGATTCATAAATACTTATTGCTCCGATCTTGTTTTTAGAAATGTCTACAGAAGCAGGAACTTCTAATAACAACACAGTGGAAGACAATTTGGAGTCTAGCCAGACCAGTGCCACTTCTTCACCTGCCTCAACTCCTCGCTGCAACCCTAAAATGTCCAAAGCACTTAGCACCTCAGCAAAAAGGTGATTTTCCTTTGGATCAATTTTATTTCTGAATTTTAAATTTTCTCCACATTCAAAAGGATTCAGAAGGAACTGGCTGAGATTACTTTGGATCCTCCACCAAACTGCTCAGCTGGGCCAAAAGGTGATAATTTGTATGAGTGGGTCTCAACAATTTTGGGACCGCCAGGCTCTGTCTACGAAGGAGGCGTTTTTTTCCTCGACATCCACTTTACTCCTGATTACCCCTTCAAACCACCTAAAGTATGGCTTACTTTTAAACTTCTGATTTTTCTATTAACATGCTGAATTTCAACAGGTTACTTTTCGCACACGAATTTACCATTGCAACATCAACAGTCAAGGAGTGATATGTCTTGACATTCTAAAGGACAACTGGTCACCTGCCCTCACCATATCAAAAGTGCTTCTCTCAATATGCTCACTGTTGACTGATTGCAATCCAGGTAGACCTTTCTAACTTGCAAATAATTATTTTTTACGATTTTGCAAAATTCTTGAGGGTCAGGCCAAATGATGGCATCTAGTCGGCCTTTCCTTTTTTTGGTGGTGCTTAATTTTAAAGCAGGGTCCAATTATATCATTTATTTCTGGTTTCAACTTTTCTATTGCAATGTTCGAGGCAGGAATTTAAATAAGTTTCTACAGACTTCTAAGTTTGATACATTTTCTATATCTTAAATTGCTTTTTTTTTCTAATTTAACTTGTAAGATTCAGATCTCTATGAAAGCAGCAATAATTATTTCAAATTTTTTTAGATTGGACAAAGTCTTTACTGTCTGTTCCCTTTTTTGGTGGTGCACAAGGCACCACCCAATTTTGCTGAAAGTTTTTTATGTTTTCTAATTGAATTTTCATTTATTTTTTGTGCTTACTGTACTCCTCATTGAGTGTTTGTAATAGATTCTTTCAATTACTCTAAAGAATTTATTATTATTATTTTTTTTTTAATTCAGTCAAGTTTAAATTAATAATTTTAAAAAAATTTAGAAATAAACAAGCTACTCTGCTTAAGAGAATAGGGGCAACAAAATGAGCTTCTTCATTGGCGTTGGGCCCCACGGGCTTCAATTTAAACAAACAGCACCATTTTTATCAAAGTCAACCAATACTGGTTTTGCGCAATTCCATCCCTTGTCAGTTATCCTGCCATTACAATGTGTTTGGAAGGAGCTTCAATGCGATAGGCGGGTGGGGCCCCACCTAAGATCGGACAATTTTCCGCGACAATAACAATATAAATTTACATTTTTAACAATAATTTCATCCAATTCTTTATCCTTTAAATCACTTTAAATTTAATTTAAATTGACAACAACAGTCAGCAATTTTAGTAGTTAAAAGGAATTTGATTCAAGAAGTATTATATAAGTTTTTGTGAGTTTATTGTAATCAAAATTTCTAGATTTAAAGTACTATGCAAAAGTAAAAAGTTAATTAAAAACCAGCATAATTTTATTTTGTAGGCTTGGGAATTTATATTGATCCAAAACGGTCATTTTAATAACCTTCAAATTTTAGCAAAAATTAGAAATGTAATTTTGCCAATTTTTCACAGCTGATCCTCTTGTGGGAAGCATTGCCACACAACTACTGCAGAACAGGGAAGAACACGACCGAATCGCTCGACTGTGGACCAAGAGGTACGCGACGTAAATCAACACCCGCCCACCTTCCAAGCCCGTCATCACATAAATCTGTCGTTACTTTGTGTAAACCCTTTCCACCTTCTCTACCCTCTGGAAGAAAGAGCAAGAAGGAATTCGTAAGTTTTCTTGTGAAAATAAGCAAAGATTCACTCACCTCCATCCCTCCAATTATTTGAACAATTGTTTCTGGTTGTGTCTTAAAGAGACGTCGCGGATTGAATGAAGTGTCAGTTGTTTTGAGTTCTCTCCATGCTTCCACCTCCACCAGTTCTATTTTCTAGATTAGTGGTGTGTTCCTACAGTCAATGCGGTGATTGAATTATGATTGCAGAAGACAACAAGGACTGTATAAAAATTAATTGAATGATTTTAAAACTGTGTTTAATCGTAAGTTCATTTACTGTGGCTGTTTCTCTTTGTTTTTTGCCGTAGTCCGAGTGGGACGAAACAGGCCCAGCCGCAAATACGAGAACTGGAAAGCTTAAAATTGTAATGCGTGGCATTTATTTTCATTTTTGTACTCGCGTATGTAATTATAATTGCACGAGAAGAAAGCAGTGTTTGTTAACAGGACGGACAATTTGATAGGTGCATATAAGCGAGAGGAGAATATATTATAATTATATGTGGCTACGTTGTAAATTTTGCTTATAAAATAAACAGGAGAATAAAATAAGTGATGTAAAACTAATTCATTTTTTTTCTTGAGCTTCTTCAGCTATTTCTCTGTAGTTGTCCAATATAGGAGTGCTTCTTTTTCTGGCCTTCTTGGATCCTTTGGTCCTGCTTTGGACGTGATTTCACTTCACTCCTGAGAGAGGCGCATCTGCAGGACCATGGGTAGTGGCAAGGCAAAATTGGGCTCCTCTTTGCTTCTGATTGAAGGCAATTTTGTGTTTTTTTTTTACACTGTTTTAAGCCTTGTTTTGATTGCAGATCATCTTTACTCTTGCTTTTGCAAAGAAGTCCATTTTACTGAAAAGTAATTTTATTTTGAGAGAATCAAGGACATCAAACGTTAAGCAATTTGAAAGTTTAAATTTAAACATGTTTATTTATTAATTAGCATATTTCATAGAAATTTTGAAATAATTTACACAATTTCATTCATTAGATCAAAGGAAATTTCATAGATTTAATGCGGTGGTAAAAATATAATTCATGACAAAATACATGATCTAAATCTAATTTTTAGAGTGCTTCCACTTGCTCGTTCTGACTGATATTTGTACATATATAAAATAGCACTAATTAAAAAAGTGTCACTGAGCACGTCACTTCATTTTTCAGTTACTGGCCAATGCTGACAAGAACGTTAATTGAGTATTTTTTTTTATGCTTCAACTCTTGATAGATCTAGCGGTGTGGCTGGCGGCGTCAGCGTTTTGCTCGATTCTTTGGCCATGCTCTGAATTTCGTCCTCATCAACCACCACTTCTTTCTCCTCTTCTTCGTTATGGGACGAGTCTTCTCTCTTCAAAGAAAGGTCGATCGCCTCTTCAGAAAAGTCTGTAGAAGGACGGAAGTCGCTGCTAAGCAGCAACGGACTGGCGCTTTTGATACCCTCAGGCAGCCTCATGAAGGGCGGGAAAAAAGATCTAAAGCAGAATTAAAATAAATTATCACCCAAACATTAAAAATTGGCGAGTGTCATGATTTGACGAAGAAAATTTATGACAGGAGCAGAATACCAAAACTAAAATTATGGGAAATAATAAATTATTTTCTTTCCTTTTTGAAGACGAAAATTGCTCCAACATAAATAAGAAAAAAAATCATATCTGGTCCATTCTAGTCTTAATTTAAAGAAGTATTTTTGCAATAAAAGCAAAAAATAGTCCCATTTTATATTAATAAGTTTTTGAACAATTTCAAAATAAATTTTTACCTATGGGCGGCCAGTGCTGCGGCCAGGTGATGAGCGACGAGGGGTTGCGGGGGCGGCAGGAAGGGGAGAAAAGGGTGGAAGTCAGCAGCCTCCGTACTGGTGTCGGACTGGAGGCTCTCGGGCGACGAACTGGCCGACGGGGCTCGGGACTCTCGGGAGGCCTCCGACTGGTGGAGGCGGCCGTGCAGGTCGAGCAGCGTCGGGGGCGGCGACGGCGAGTGAAGGTGCTGCTGGTGGCGGGAGGCGGCCGCCGCCGCCGCGGAGGCCTGCTCCTGCAGGAGGCAGTGGATCTTGAACCAGTTGGAGCGGCGGCCGTAGCGCGAGCCGCTCTTCGACATGCCCACCTCCAGGCACTTGCGGAGGCGGCACGCTTTGCATGAGGTGCGATTCTTCTTGTTGATCACACACCGACCGCCGTTCTTGCACTCCGAGATGCTCGATAGGTTGTTGTAGGAACGGCCGAAAAAGGACTAAAATAAAAAAACAAATTGATTTAAATTAAATTTCAAGGCAAATTTCGAGCATTTCCTCCTAATAACAATCTGTTAATAACAGATATTTTATTGTAACAAAATGCAAATTTTTATTTATACTATCTGAATTATTATTGATTTATTACATCCCAGAAAATTCAAATATGTCCGTTCAAAGTCCCTGTAAATAATTAATTTTTTTTTAGTCTATATGGTCTATATATAGCTGTATTGTATACTTAAAAGTTAAACTAAAATTTTTGTATTTTTGGGAAAATGTATTGTTGAAAATTCAAAATTATCAAGTATTGAATTCGGACCAAATTTTAATTGAAAAATTAAACGTTATTTCGCAATTAAAATTTTGTTCATTATTTGAAAAAATGTACTAATTAAATTAAAAGGTCATTTTGCTCTTGGGCTGTCGGCGACGTGCAAGTTTTAAATTAAATTTTATGCGTTGAGTTTTCAGTCGTAAAAGAAAATATGTCCGTCTAGTACCTATTATAGCCAGAAGTGACTGAAATCGGCAGACTTTTAATGACGTGTTTTTACTACTACACATTTATAAAGAGCAGCGAGTACGTGTGCGTGCACATGAAAAAGCAAGCAGCTTTAGGGTCTCTCCAGAAGTGCTCGTCTTTCTTATTTCTTTTTCTATTGTGCGTGCTCTGTCCTTAAATGGACCGGAATACATTTATTTGAAACATTTAAAGTGTGTTTGCTGTTTTCTCAGCGGCGAGAATATAATTTCGTGCATACATTTTTGTCTCCGTCCAGCACCGCACCGAATTCCCTGCTCTTGTGGCGAAATGTGTTCTTTGACCTCCTAAATTCACCCGGCGCACAGAAAAAAAAGCAGGTGCGGCGTCCTTTTTAGTACTCGAAAAGGAGAAAATTTTTGAGAGATGTTCAGCTCGTCTCTTCTCTCTCTCTCTCTCTCTCTCTCTCGTTTGAGCCGAAAAGTAGGTTCAGTACTGTTTGATCTCGTGCGAGACACTCGCCGGTGCTTTATCGAAAACACAGAGCGCGAGTAAAGTGTATCTCTCTCTTCGCCCAAAATTAGCGACCTTTTGACGGGTCTGCGCTCACCGGCCGATACAAAAGCGCCTTGTTGACCTAAAAACGATTTAAACGCCGCGATGTTCGTCCAATAAAAGCGAAAAAGACATGCTATATGCCAATAGGATCCATCAATAATTTATTTAAAAAAGAAATCAAGTTGAGCAAATTTATCCCCAAACATTTAAGCATTTTTTTATCCTACATATTTGGGAAAAATAATAATATTCCAATGCATTTGCCAGTACAAGAACGGGAAATTGTGTGTTAATAAATATAATATAATGTATTTGTCAGTATATATGACCAAATTAATTAATAATGTGCACTCTGTTTTGTTCCAATGCCTTTTAAATTTGCATGAAAAATATGATATAAAGTTGCATGCATTGATGAGAGCGAAGCATTTTTTTTTTAAATTAAAAAAAAAACAAACAGATTCAATTAAGAAGCAATTAAAATAAACACGTCGCAATTCCTAATTTTATTTTTTGTAAGCGGTTTTTCCGTGGATTTACTCATACTGTGCGAAAAGTCAATTCAGATTAATTGAAATTTTAAAAATTGAGCATGATTTCTGCAATTCGCAAAATTTTCTTAACAAACACATTGCAACAATATTCCATAAAAACGAGCTGCTGGCTCTGCTGCCTCACACTTCTTAATCCTCTCATTTTCTCATTGTCAACGTCGATAATAATTGAAACTGTTGTTATTGTAAAAACTCCCACATTTAAGGAAAATAATTAGTTTCATATTTTATGGACTCTCTTTAAAACCTGAAAATTAACAGGAAGAGATATTTAGGCTCGTTACCGTTTTGTTCCGAGGATGTGAATGATTTAATTTTGTTTTGCCAAAATGAAATCTATAGTTTTTGTTGTTTCTCACAGATGAAGAAATAATCGACTGCTGCAATAAAGTACCGAAGCACTAAAATGTATTTTTATGCTTCCTTTGTGGCAAAACGGTGTCAATTGCTTTGCCATAAAATTGATACTTTTGCATAGATGCAGATTGGCAATAAAAGGATTCCGTGAGAAATAATCAATGAGGCAGCGAAATAAATAAATGTCTTCATTTTATCTTTCGGAGCGAACATCCTGCCATATCGATTGCGAAAATAAGAATAAGACTTTAGTCTGGAGGTTCGTCAAAAATTAAATTCTGGCGAAAATGAATGAAAAATTCAGCAGTTGCTGCATTGTTTACACTTGATATGTACGCGCGATAAGAGAGTGCAGAAATAAGCAGAAAATCCTTCATGGGTAAATGACCACTTCCGGTGACCTTAATAAAGAGAGCAGCATAAGGTAAGGCGCGACGACGCAATACGCACGCCGTAGTAATTTATGATAAAGTGAACCGCATAACCTGTGTCGCAACAATTATTCTTGCGCCAATCGTAGCGAAAACTCATTCGGTGGCAACGCGAGCACCTCGTAACCATAAAGCAGCTTCAAATTTTGCGACCCACTTCTTCAAATGCATAATAGTGATTCTTTCGATTTCAGCTGTTATTATTTTCTTTTAGCAATTGAGAAAAGAAAGAATTTTGTAATTCTTAATTTTTGTCACCTCTAATTTTGGTTTAAAAAAAATTGCTGGAACCCAAGTAAATTAAAAAAATCTAGAGGAATCACTGTTTTAAAATACCAATTTGCATGATTTTTTTTATTATCTGTTTAATCTATTTGATAATTACATGAATTTTTTTATAATTTTTTTGTTGTGCATGGATTGAAGAAAAAAAATATCTATAAAAACTCAATAATTAACTCGTTGCACAGATTTTTTGAGTAGCTATATTTGTTGAAATTTGGAGTTTAAATTAAAATTATGTAAAAAAAAAGTGTAAAATATAACTGATTTTAATTTAAAATTTTTCCGAATTTTGAATTAAGGGATCTAATCAATCAGATGATGGATATTTTTTTAGAAAATTCAAGTTCAAATTCAGCTCCTGAAATTATCAACTTTATCTTGATCAAAGTTGCCAATTTTTAATAAAAATATTATAAATAATTTAGCCAAACTGTACATGTGACAATTTGCACGTTGCTAAATAGCTCGAGGCAAACTGCTATTTGGGAATTTTGAATACTGGACCCATCAAATCAACACACCAGGATTAATTATACGCGGCGCTCTCGTGCTGTAGACACATATAAAAATCAAAGCGCACGGGTCTATTGATAAAAAATAATAAAAACGGCTGGTTAGGAGGCATGTTACGGCGCGCGGCGTGTCGAGGATCCAACAGGGCGCGGCACCTCGCGACTACCTGAATTAATAATAGCCCTCTGGCGAAATGTTTTATTATTGTAAACTACGTCCAATTGCTTTGTGATTAGTGTGTAATATGGACAGCAGAGACGGCTGGGTTTTTTATATTCAATTTCTTTCCAGCTCAAAAATAAAGTGAAAAAGTTGAGTACGTATTTCATTTCAAATTCAATTTTAAGTATAGAACAGTTGATTCTTTTGGTTCTTTTTTGATTATAAATTATTTTAGTCAATAAAAGTTGTGTTTGAAGAAAAATAAAAAATAAATGCAAATGATTTAAAGATTTCATTAATTGCTCACCTTGCATCCCTCGCAAGTGAAGGCCCCGAAGTGGAATCCGGCCGCGGGTTCGCCACACACTTTGCACATTTGATTCATCTGCGGGGAGAGAGAGAAAAAAAATTAAATTCACTTTACGAAGGCAAATTACAGGTTTTGCTTTGTAATAAATAATTCGACGAAATCGCTCACAATTTATAACTTTTATAACATCTTGTGCTAACAATTGGACAGCTGATCGGAACAGAAATGATAAAACGGAGAGTGAAAAATTATTGAGCACGCGCGAGCGAGAGCGTCGTCTCTTCTTTTTGTTTCACACACAAGTACATAAAAAGCAAAGTTGATAAGCGTAGCTCGTGTTTCTGGTCGTTTTCAACAGCGCTTTCATCACGCTCCACTCCATTACCCGCCTCTCAAATCTAGATCTGGCCACACGTTCCTTAATCAACATTCCATTAAGTTTCCCAATAACGTCCGACCACCCCTTCGAAGGGGAGGAAAAAAAGTCGTATAAAATATATGGAAAAAAAGGCACAAATGACCTCTTTTGATGATCCCTTTTTTAAAAATTACAATCGATCATATTATTTTTTTTCCCACCAACAGATGTGTGAGGGAACTACAGAATGATCTGAAAAAGGTCGATTTGTATTGTTGCTCGCCCCACGCAGGTCGTTTCACATATAATAAAAGTTGCGGCATCGGAATGTGAAGGCAACAAGAAGTGTCATCCCTCATCCCTAAGGGTTTTAAAACCCCTCCCTTTCTGTACCTGGGACGAAATAAATAAACAAACCTGGCGTATAATAAATACTTAATCGGTCCACTTTTTGACGCTAAGGAATGCTCCAAATTAAAAACGGTGACCAGTTTCTATGTAAGGTCAAAGCAGCAGCCGCACATATGAATCCGGTTCGGAAACTCTTCAAATTCTTTCATTGGCGCATCACTCATCCAGTTCTGTCAAGGGCTTAGTACAATTTAAGTAAAAAGAAAAAATTTAAAAATACAGGATGGTGGTGGGGGTACATTTTTTTATTCAATTATTTAATACCATAACTGACCCAACTGTTCCTTCATCACGAGTCGCTTAACCTCAGTTTTCCAACTTCAAAAAAAAAAAAAATTTCAAATTTCTTATGTTATTAGCTCAATTAGAGTCAACTTTCAATGTGGATTTTCTCAAAATGTGAAGAGGTGACATAATTTTGTAAAGATATTCGGAATTTCTCCAGCATTGCACGATTTATTCCCGGTTGTTCTTATCAAATTAAAAAAAGTTATAATATGTAAATATTCGAGCTTTTAAATTGGTACATATATATGCAAATTGAATCGAAAATTTTGAATTGCACTCTCGTCAGAATTAGTATATTATTGCGAGCGAACAAAGGAAATATGATGAATGTGTTTGAATTTGGTTGCAATAAAATTTTTATTCTGACCGTGTGGTGTAGGTGTCGAGCCTCTTCTCCGCTCTAGAATGCCATCATTGCTGCCAGGGTGGTTCCCTTTGGAGAACAAAGTCCTGAGTCACCTGAGCATCTTGTGTGCGGAGAGAGAGGCCGTGCGCGAGGAGCACAAAAGGCAAAAGTCGACTGCGCGGCTGCTCTTCTCTCAGGTGAGCTCTTCCTGCCAAAGGCCACGACTGCCAGGGAGAGGGGGCGAAAATCAAACTCTGCTGCATTGCACACCTGAGTACCTAACTCTTTTTAATTCTCTGCAATTAACACAAAAGTTGAAATATTTTGCCTCTTTTAGGCCTAATTTTTATAATTCAGGAGAAAGAAAGAATTTTTCTGCTCCGCTGCTCCGTCTTGAGCAAAAAAAACGGGCGTTTGCCTTATTGGAAAAAAAATGCTAACGAGGAAAATCTCTCGAATGAATATTTCATATTTCCCTTCTCAGTTAAGAGATTTCGCCTCGTTAAATTCTGTACTATTATAGCAATTGTTAGTAAAAAGAACTCTCCGTATGACTATTCTTGAGCAATGCCCATGTCAAGTAGGGTCTAATTGTAATTAAAATAAGGACTCTTCAAATCCTAGTCTGTTTGCTCAACCGCGAAATTCCAAAAAAGTGGTCATTCTGTTTTTACGAGCATATTCATTTTTATTAAAGAGATCATTATACCAAAAGTTAAATTTGGCAGGCTCCAGACACACTTAAAATTTTGTTAATAATTTAATGACACGGTTTGAGAAAAATAAAAAAAATTAAATGCTACAAATTTTGGTATGCTTTTGGCAAAAATTAAATTTGAAATTGAATTCAACGTAATTCATTTTTCATGCATGATTTCTGATTGCGAATTTATACCAGGACTGCATTTTCGCATTCCCGTACCGCTGAAAGTGAATGAGTTCACATTTGGCCAAAAACCGAAAGTGCGGACGACGATGGCGCGTGTGAACGAAAAGCGAATGAGCTTTTTGTCCGCTGGCCAAAACTGCTGTGGCGCCACATCCTTCTAAAGTTGGACGTTCCTTATCAGTTGATCTACCAACTCGACTTGAAATATCATTTTTGTGGTAGAATTTCACAATCGAGGGTTGATTCATGGTGATTTGAATTTAAAATCGGCTTTTCCTCGATGGGTTTTTGTGAGTTGTTTATTGTCAGAAAATTGTTTTTTTCTGAAACAATAAAAAACTCACAAAAACCCATCGAGGGAAAGCCGATTTTAACTTCAAATCACCTTGAAATATCATGTTTGAAAAGCTGTTCTTCATGGCAAATTATAAATTATTTTAATTTAATCTCTTTCAAAAAGTGCTACTGTTGCTTGTAAACGTTGAAAATGTCAATTTCCATGAGGTTTACGACGAGGGTTAAAATTTTATTGACCTTTTCAAGATTGCCTAGTTTTTATTTCATTTTATATAATTGATGTTTAAATGTAGAGTAAAATAAATAGATAAAGGTAAAAATATTGCTGCGTAAAAATTTTTATATTTCATTTGTAATTCTTTTTTACCATAAAATAACTTACGGGCCCTATAGATTTTTTAACAGGATAGGCAAAGTTTTTAGCGAAGACAACAATAAAAAAAATTAATTGACACATTTTTTATACAGTTGAATGTTAACAATGTGATGTAACATGTAACAATTTGGGAAAATAAACAGCGATGATAATCTTTATCAATGATTGAATAAAATGGATTTTTTTACCTTTTTTAATTTTGAATTTCAATTAAATTTTATTTTTGGGATTAGAATTTGTTTTAGAGAGAGGACTTTGGAAATAAATAAAAATTCAAGTTGGTGCGTGGGCGTCTGTCTCTCTGCGTGGGTACAGAAATACTTTTGGAGCGCAGAGCTCATATCAATCGATCGAAATGAATTGTGGCACGTTTTTCTCTCTCTCTCTCTCGGTCTGGTCGCCGTCGGTTGGTTCGATTCTGATTTGAATTACAAAATGATTGAGTCGCAACAGAAAAGAGGAGCACACAAACAATAACACCGTCGCCCTTAATCGGCTGCTACCTGAAACAATGCGAAGGTCTCACGCACCGCTTGCGTGGCTTCTGTTTTTCAGCAGACGTCCCCTGAATTCAGAATATTAGATCAGCTCGCGCGGCCGCGAGAGGCGAGCAAAATTTATTATAAATTATTTCGATCACTCTCCTTGCGCGTTGACGCAATGCTCAATTGCCTCATTCGCGAAGTTCATATATGTATTATTTTTTTTTCTTAATACTTACATATTATAAGAGCGCGCGTGTTGCAACTCGCAGGCACCCGACAACAACTGCGCCGACTTTTTGCGCGCGGGGATCAAAAAGATTTGTGTATTATTTCACTTCTTTCCTTTTAACGTACGTGTCTGTCAATTGATTTACTGCATGATAAAACGTTTTTTCCTCGTTTTGCAATTTTGAACGAGATTTTAGATACAGATTTTAACTTCGTCAGAGCTTTATTTTTTAACATCATTCGAAAAACATCAAGGAATTCCAAAAATCTTTGTGATCCAAGATGCAAATTCGCTTAACTAAAAATTTTTAATATTTTGAAATTTCCATACTTATTAAAATTTTGTTATTCAGTTAATTCATTACAAAGCAGATTAATTGAAAACATAAGAAACTCTATATTAGGCTCAAAAGCATAATTGGTTTATCAAATAAATCGAGTTCAACATTTTTATTTTTATTTCACGGCAATGGGAAAAGCCGAATTTAAATTCAAATCACAATTAGCTTTTAATTAAGAAAACTGGTTTGTTTGCAACAAAAATTTAGAGATAATTTTCCTTCCCATACATCCCTTCATTTTTTAAACCTCCCAAATTTAAAAGTAAAAAATGATTTATATCTTCGTTGTATTATTATTATTATAAATACGAATTTTTATTCCATTGCGTTTTATTGACTTGCATGCTGCAAAAATTAAGAAAAATAATAAGTTGCTTGCTGTAAAAATTTGAATCGCTTTTTAATTGAAAATGCCACAGCAGGGAATTGAATTTAACATTTCATTCAATTCTTTGTTGAAATTTGACCGTGAAATCAATTGAGAATGGCGCCGATCGATTGATCGACAATAGACATAAATTGATAAGCAAGGTGAATCACGCGCAGGAAGTGACCGGAAACGAGCCGAGGACTAGGAGTCGAATGTAATCAAAAGTGTCCAACGGCGGCCAAGACGGCGGCGGCGGCGGACAGGAAATGCGTGCTCCTAATGCAAAACGTCATCCAGGGGAAGATCACCTTCTTCTATACAAGTGCTGGGTGTTGCTCGACCGATGCCTCGATTCACATTCAAATAACAAGACTGGCCTCACCGAGAAGGAATTGATTCTTGCTTTTGAATTAAATTATCAAACGCGCGGCGGACAGGAAGTATATATTGCTGAGGGAGAGACGCGCGCGAGACGAATTCGTAACTTATTCATTTACAAGCCCAACGCACATGACAATTGGTTTGTTGCTGTGTATAAATCGTTTTTATTTCGTGCAACGTGATACATTTAAAACGCACGCCAGGCCCGTCCGGTCTCGGATTTGAAATTTGAATAAGCCAAATATGGACACGTGAAAAGTAAAAGGCATCAGGGAGATTCACACACCTGCGATGAATTTTGAAACATAATTTTTAATAATTGCTACAAAATTATAAAGTAAAGTAATACAATATTCAATTAATATTTTGATTCTGAAATATTATATAACATAAGCAGAGTTGAAAATTCCTTAAAAAAAAACTCAAAAGTTAAATCAATTTGATTCAACGAGGCGTTATAATTTTTAAAATCAAAGATGACCCATTCTTAGCATTTTCACACACCGCCCAAAGTTGATGATAGAGATCTGAGAGTTTCACAACTTAATCTCCATTACTTGAAGGGAACATCCCTAAATTTTTATCAAAATATTTTCAAAATGGCGGATTTTACGGGACATTTTGAAAAAATAAAAAACTTCAATTATCTCGGCTTCTGTTGGTCAGAGAACAAAATTCCGGGTATGGTTGAACTCGCCTCATTAAACTCTACAACTTTGCCGTTGATCAAAAAATCATAGGTCGGAGGTCAAGGTCACTTCCGATGAACTTGTGTCATTCAAACTGGAATTTGAGCATCAAATGCAAACATTTTTGAAATTCTGAGATAGCCATTCGATTTTTCGTGAAATTTTACACACAATATGTGAAACTGGCGAAATGGTTTTTTCTCTTTAAATTTATATTAAAATAAAAAGATTAAAAAACGTGGTTTTTTGGTGCTCCGATCAGCGATTTTTAAGAAAAACGTAAATAACTCGTTTTCTGTGCGTCTGAGGCAAAAAATGATAATGAACAAAATTGGTTCCCATTAAAATTTCTATCTAAATATGTAAAGGTCATTGACCTTTTGGAAACTTGGGTCAAAGGTCACCTTGACCCTTGACCTTTAGTGAAAAGACCCTAATGTGTGATACATGGTTGGAAAGGGCTTGTCACTAGGATAACAATGGTCACCATATTTTTGTCTGTGGCTTTATTTACCTTCAATTTAAGCTGATTATTTAATTTATAATGAATGAAAATGCGCTTTTTTCATAATTAAACCATCATAACTAAGTCGAAAATGAAGTCAGATGTCTATATAATTTAAAAATTAGATTGTTTCATAAATCAGGATTTTTCAGTACTTTTTTCCATCCATTTTGACGCTTCAGCAAAGTAATTAAATAATTTTATTTATTAAATTGAAATATTTTATGCCAGAATATGAAGAGTTTATTACTATTATAATTTTAACAATCTGATTTTATTTTTAATTTTTAAATTAGAATAAAATGGAAATAATTGCATTAAAATACTAAAAGCTGCAATATGTAAAAAAATTGAGCATTATCGCAATGAAAACAAACGAAAATATCCGTAACTTTTATTAATTAGAATAAAAATTCCTTGAATAAATGTGAGTGATAGATTTGAATCGGAGAGGTTTCTTTAAAAGCATGCATTAACCAAACAAAATCTACCTTTTCATCGCTTTGATCGACACAAAGCGGCAGCAAAAAAGCGCTTTTTTATAGTTCACAGGCAGGCAAGGAGAAAGAGAAGCGGCGCCCTTCAGGGTGCTCTTCTTCATTAGCGCTGGCTGGAGGTGCGAGCTTCAGGTTGTATGAGAAAGAATATGTAACATTTGCTTCACGGACGCGCAGGTGCACGGTTATAAAATTCGCTCCCGCTTTGTCCTGAGCGCAGTTCAAAGGGTGAAAGGCTGGGATTTGGAACATCAGGTGGGGGATTTGTATCAAAGTCATGAGTCACGGCATGACCGGCGAGTTTCAAACCTTTTCGGCCGGGTTCGCGATGAAAAAATGTATATAAATCTCCCAACTCGCATAAATATTAAAAACATAAAAAATAAATCCGTGCGAGATCCGAATTATACCGAAGGCTGAAATTTATCCTCTGCTCACAGCAGTAGGCGAACACAAACGATGTAATATTGGTAAATTATTAAAAGGAGCAGAGAGGAGTTTTATTTAGAAATCGTTTTTCTTATTCCGAAGCTGGCGCGGCTGCTTTTTTCTTTTTACTCTCCTCGCATGCCAGCCGAGATCGAGTTTTAAAATATTCCACCGCTCTTATATCGTGACCCTTGACCCGGCTCGGAACGCTGATATGGGTGCGTTCATTAAAATTAACCTACGCTTATTTATTCTGACATCTCTTTGACCTTCTTTTTATTATTTGTGTTTCTTCTCAAGATTAATGCTCACAGCTTTTTTATGATAAACTCGTTTTTTAACTTACGAAAATAAAAATTAAAAAATTTCCATTACACGTGCAATTATTAAACACGACCGCCGGCCCCAGAGAGAAAATTTATTATTTTTTTGAGAGGAAAAAATGTCTTCCTAAAGTGAACTAGATTTCTATGATATAAATAATTCTCGGCGGTCGCCGAGGACCAGTTTGTTAATCTGTCATTAATTTATTCCAACAACCACTTCAGAGCTGCTCCTCTCTCGTTTTGAAATATCGCTTTTGCCCGAATATTTTCTTGAATGTCTTTTCAAATGAAAAACCCGAGAGCGCTTTTTCAAAAATGTAATAATGATCATTTCATTTCTAATGAAAGATTGAAATTTGAAAAAAATAAAATAAGATTCTTTTATAAAATTCGATTTCTTACATTAAATAAGAAAATAATTTGGGAGGAAATTACTGTCGAAAATAATATAAATTTGCAAAGAAACGAATTTCGCAGCTTGAAAAGTTTATTTCGACCCTTCATTTTTTACACTTCGGCGAGGATATAAAAAGCACGAAATGAATAATTTATCCGCGCGAGGGCTCTGATAAGCTTCTTTCTGGCCGAGACCGAGCGAGCGGTGAGCAAATAAAAATACGCGTGATTCTAATAAATTAGCCGGCGGCAGACGTAAATTAATTGGTATTCAACGCCCGGCGCAATCGGCTCTAACTTCCAGGGACAGACCAGTTTGAGATTCACTCGGAGACAAACGCTCTACACTCTCTCATATCATGTCTAATTTTTGAGTGCCTGCGTATTAATATTCCTCAACGTTCCGATTTGGAATAAAAGAATGGGAGGTCTTCAAAAAGAGGGAAAACGTGCAACGAGATTAATTCTCAACACTGATGAGAGACAAAGGGCGGAAAACTGGAGCGTGCTTGACAGAATTGAACACACGCATGGGGAGAGTTTCTTCATTTCCTTCTCATTTCTGAGTATCATTTATTCTTCTCTAAAGGTTGTTTATGCTTCATTGGATCTGCAGGTTATTTTTAATTAAATTTAAAAAAATCTTTTGGATTTAAGTGCTCTTTGAATATCAGTGCCGTTGAAAATAAGAAAAAAATTAATATCTTGTAAATTTAATTTTAATCTATAAAATTATTCAATTATAATAAAAACTGACTCATACAAAAATTCCCAATAAATTAAAAAAACAAGTAGTTTTGGAGATCAATATTTTTAAATGAACCAAATTTGAAGATTAATAAATAAACTTTGTAAGTTGTTTCTCTTATTACTTTAATTACTTTTGGTACTATTTTTTGAAAAAGATACTTTTTCACCACCAGCCATCATTTAATAAAAACTGCCAAAAACTGAATTGATTTAAATGAAAAAAAAAAACATCTAAATTTGCTTTTAATTTTACGCATCACATGCGCAAAAAAAATAAATTTGGAAACCACCCAAAGCAAAAAAATTAATCCTCTACTCATCTTATTGCGATTTGTTTTACTAACTAAACATATGAACTAAATTTTCACATAATTCAATTTAATTTATGACTATAAATTAAATATTAATTTCTTGGCGAGGATGAAGATGAAAAAGACAGAGAACAATACAAGCTTTGTTCATATTATTCAGCTTAGGAGGAGGGCAAAATTAATCCAGAAAATCCGTGCACTCTCTCAGTCAAGCTAATACATTTGTAATGACGTTGCTTTGAGAGAGACGAACAATAAAATCAAACTCTCGGCACAATAAAAAGATCGGCAATGCAAACGGGTACTACTTTTGAGGCCACCTACTTGGAAGCGCGCATATTTAAATGAAGCTTAGATGAATTCCACGTGATCCTGCATTGAAATGCCGAGTTATAATGTCGCGGCGGCGGCGGCAGTTTGTGTTGAACAATAGATTTATTTTCTTTCTGTGCGCGATATAATTGAAAATTATATTATAGCACTTGCCGCATGCCTCGAACATGACATTTGCTCAATTGTGTAGTCGCTGCTTGAGAAATGCATATAATGTGTTTATAAGAAAGAAAGAAAGAGATGCTGTTCGATGAATATGTATTGCGGTACATCTTCAGCCTGCGATCGGCCGAATATATAAATTATTTCTGCTTCCTCCTTGACGTGTGCGGTCGTGCATATGGATTAGCAAAATTGCATTACAAATATATAATTCATTCCACAGCTTATTTGTTTGCGCTGCAATTTTATTTCTAACCACAAGAAATTTTATTTGAGTTGAACATTTTGTCCGCAAACCCGCACAACATTCAGAAAACGCTTTAAAAATTGTAATTTAATTTTTTTTAAAGTACATTTTGTAACTCATTACTGAGTGGCATTTGAAATAGTAACATAGTAACAAAATTTAAATTGTTTGAATAGATCAATTTAAATTTAATTTAGAAAATAATAAAAAATTCAAAATAGATCCCTTAATTAAGAAATGTGTAGTCGATTTCCGCCCAAATATTTCACAGCAGTCTAAATTAGCATTATACACGGCTCTAAACAATATATTTTTTTTAATCAGTCCTATAGATATTGCATTTTTTATTTTTAATAATATAAAATGTGCATTTGTCCACGCTCAAGACAATTGTGGACTAAATTAAAAATGAAAGAGAAGTGTCCAGCACACATTATTTTTCATGTTAAAATTTAAAAAACAGGTAAAAAAGTTCCTCTACAAAAATGCCTTCAATTTCGTTTTTCATTTTAATATTGAACTCTGTCAAAATTAATAAAAAATTTTCTTTCAAACGTATCCCCTTAAAAACAGATTCGTCTTTTCATTGCAAAATTGAAATCAATTTGTTCTAAAATAATATTTTGGGTGTTTTTTTTTTTTTATTAATAATTAGAACCGGAAAATTGTAATTATTTTGATTCGATTTATTTGGAATCTTTGCTATGCGGGAGAGTATCTGATCTCGGAAACAAGTGTGTGGCGCGCGGCTGGAAATTCTTGCTCTGGTTGTCCGGTGCACCACTGGGAAGCGCAACCTTAAAGGATTTGGGCCGGGCGGTGCTCGGCAAAAACAAACCGACACAGCTGGATTCTGTTGACAGCAATAAAATCATTTGTTTGCAATAAAATTTTTCGGCTAGGAAATATGGAGCAGGAGCAGGAGGACGCTCGTCAACTACGGTAATTAAAGCTGAAACTTGTATTTTTCATCTGAATTGTGCTTTTGTTAAAACAGAGAGAAAAAGGAGCAAGACGAAATCGACAAACTTAAGGCCTTTCACCGCTTTCCGCAGCCAAAAAGCCTCAGGAAACTGGCCATGCGCGCCGTTATGTCGAACCTCCAGTTTTACGCCGACTTGCCCTACAACCCTTTCCTCCAGCTACGTATAATAATCCGCAAATCTCAAAATTTTCTTTAACTAAAAAAAACTTTATTTCAGCGAAAAATCTGCATGAAGAATTGTTGAAATTTTTTGACAAAAAGCAAGGTCGTTTCTTGCACGTGAAGCCAGAGGTCCGACAAAAATTCGGGATTCAGATGATGAGTGAAAAGGTTTCCACCCTAGATTGGCACATGGGCTGGGACTTATTCTGGCATGAGAATGGAAATTCATTCTTCAAACATGTTGCGCAGAATTGTCCTAACTTGACCACAATAGACACGTATTTAGTCGACTGTGAGTTTCTTGCATTAAAATTAATTTTACTTATTTATCTGTGATTTATAATTTGCAGTATCTAGAGTTCCTGATTTCATTGCCACACCAGAATATTTTCTATCTCACTTCAAGAGTTTGCAAGTACTAAAAATCTCCGACTATTGTTTTTGTACGGACTCACTTTTGACAGTGCTCATCGAGCATTGCCCGATGCTAAAGTAAGTCAATTCAATCTTCCATAAACTTTGCTCATTTATTATTATTATTATTTATTCTTCTCGGTCAACACAAAAATTTATGTAAAAATTTTATGTAAGCCCTTCTTTGATTGTAGGGAATTGGAAATCAAGTTGCCGCTGACAATTACGGGAGAGACCATCAACCTCTTGTCGAGACTGAAATATTTGCAAAACTTCGTTGGTCACAGAGAAGGCAAATTAGAAGAAGGAGGCGGGTTTGATTTTGAAGGCCTGGCCAATCTTGCAGGATCAATACCTAGCTTGCGGATACTTGGCTACACACAGCACAGTGAGTTGAATTTAAATCAATAGATTAATGTCAATTTTTCGTTCTCATATAAATCAAATTAAAATTTTCAGAGCAAGACTTCTATCAGCCTCTAAACAACTTTATTGTCAGATTTGGAAACCTGTACCCTGACAAGCCGCTCTTCATACGAGAGTTGCTGTAAGATCAATCACAGTTTTGTATAAATATGGACAAGGTATTTAAATTAAGTTGCTTTTGCAAAATTAGAGCTCCTTTCACTTCTGCCTGGCCAAAACTTTTGTCTGTGGGAAATGTCCGGCTGGATGGACCTTTCAGTTCAAAGAGAATTAATGAGATCATCGGTTCTATGCCTCTTCCTCCCTTTTCTCTAACTTTTCAACAAGTTTCTTTTTGCGACATCTACCCAGTCCTGCGGAAATTCGGAAATCAGCTTGATTATCTCAGCATTGATGAATGGTGTTTTTGCAGGTAAATAAAATTGTTAATTTTTTAATTGTATATCGTTTATTTTAAAATAAACAATATTATGACTGAACAATAATTTTTTGTTAGACACACATTTTGACTTTCACTGGATTTTTCAAAATGAACGCCCTTTTCGACTGTTTTGTAGGTCAGCAGGTATAGGGGAAAATGTAGCCCATCTAATTTTAATATTTAATATGATTTCCAGAAATTAAATTTTTTTGAATTTGTTTTTTTTTTTAATAAAAGACGAACAATTGTTAAATTTCATAATCTCAACTTACTTAATGAAAATGCAATTACAAGGGTAAATGACACAGGAGGAACATTGATAGATCATGTTTTTGCTAATTTTAAACTGGAAAGCTCATTTGAAATTATTCCCATGTTATTCTCTGATCATTGCGCTGTTTATGTATCTGTTGCGTTGCCAGTCGAAAAACTGAAAGATACTTTTAAGTACGTCAGAACCTATTCTGAAGAAAATTTCCAAAAATTTAACTCTTTCCTAGAGCAAGAATATTGGACTCAAATATATCATGCTAGTTCAATTGATAGTAAAAGTGAAATTTTTATGGGAACACTCACAAAGTACTTTGAACAATCGTTTCCAATGAAACGTGTAACAATTAGAGCTAACCAAATAGATAAAATTAAGTTGACCGAGGAGACAAGAAAATTACAAAAAGATATGATAGAACTCAGTAAAGAAATTAAACTGAACTTAGACCAAAATAAAATATTAGACATGAAGTCAAGATTAAAAATTATTAAGAAGAAAGTTGTTGATAATGTTCAAAAAGAAACTAAATTAAGAAATGACAGTAGAATATCAAAGGCTAAAAATAAATCTAGTGCAGCATGGAAACTTATTAATTCACAAACTGGTAAAAGAATGAATGTAGATTTAATTGATAACTTGAATATTGATGGTGCCAGTGAGTCAATTAAACTTAATATTGCTAACCATCTGAATAACAAGTTTGTTGAATTGGAGCCAGATACAAGCAATATAAATTTAGATGACTGTTCCAAACTGATAGATGATATCAATATAACGGCTCAAAGCCTGCAGTTTATGGAAGAATTTGAGATCTATAGTATAATTAATCAACTTCCGCCAAAATGCTCATCTGGGTGGGACGGGATTTCAACTAGTGTCTTAAAAAAAATTTCAATTTACATCACCGTCCCGCTTACACATCTTATAAATGAATCATTTCTGCAAGGGAGATTTCCTGACAATATGAAATTAGCTAAAATTATTCCTCTGTTTAAGAAAGGTGAAAAGGATGACCCCTCTAACTATAGACCTATAGCTATTACTTCAGCAATTTCAAAAGTGTATGAAAAAGCCTTTTTACATAGACTAGATACTCACTTTAACGTAAATAATATCTTAATCCCTGAGCAACATGGTTTTAGAAAAGGAAAAAGTACAGTGACCGCCCTATATAGTTATGTGACATCTTTGTATGAATCTGTTGAAGCCAGGGAGAAGGTTAATGTTATATTGTACGACTTCTCAAATGCGTTTGGAACACTTTATCCTCCCCTTCTTGTGCATAAACTTAAATTATACGGCCTACATAAAAATCTGTTATCATGGCTTGAATGTTTCTTGACTAATAGAAAACAATATGTGCAGCTTAAAAATCTATCTTGCGACCGATATGAAGAACTTATAAATTCAGATGTAATTGAGAGTAACATGGGAGTGCCTCAAGGTACAGTCCTCGGTCCAATTGGATTTACTACATACTTGAATGATATTGCCCTTGTAGTTTTCCTGGCTCTCTTAATTCTATTTGCTGACGACTCGTCAGCAATCGTAAAAGGTGTATCTTCTTCTGATGTGAACTCGAAAACAGTGGCCGTTAATGAAAGCTTTGTCGGTTTCGCAAGGGACAACTTTCTTAGAATCAATTCGAAAAAGACTAAAATTTTGCAAATACATACAAGCCAAACTAGAAACCTTATCGAACCTGAAGTGAATATTCACGACCAAAAAGTAGAAATCGCAAAGACTGGTAGATTATTAGGAATCCAAGTAACTGATACCTTAAGCTGGAAAGACCAATGTGATAAGGTTGTTAATCAACTACGAAGTGTTACACATGTATTTACAAGATTGAAATATAAAGTGTCCGATGATATCCTAAACTTAATATATTATTCCCATGTACAAAGTCATATAATGTACGGAATTGTGATCTGGGGGGGCTCTTGTCATTTGATTAATGTTTTTCGAGCACAAAAAAGAGCCTTAAGAGCTATGGCGGGCGTCCCATATTGGAGATCAAACGAAGCCCTGGATACATGTAAACCATTATTTATAAAATATAATATTATGACTGTGCCTTCTCTCTATATACTTGAATGTATTAAATTTCTAGTGCGGAATCGTCACCTCTTTCAAAAATATAGTGATAGTGTTGACACGAGGCGGGTGACACGAAAAAATCAAACCAATGTGTGTATAAACGATTTAGTGGTAAGGGATATTGCCCTAAAAAAGTCTGTAGAAAACCCTGATTATATGATTCCAAGAATTTTTAATGCGCTGCCAAAAAATCTAAAAACCCTCGAAAATGACGAGGAACTTGTGAAAAAGGTGAAAACTTTTGTACTTCAACACCAATTCTATGACTTAAACGAGTTTTATCGTTTGAATAATGCCATGTATCTTGACTTATTTTAAAAAGTATTATTGCTACCGCAAATTAATGCTTAACAAAATAAAGAATATTTGAAATTGAAATTGAAATTGAAATTGAAAATTGAAATTGAAATAAAAACATTAGGTTTTGTGCGTTTTTCAAGCGCTGAAAATACGCTTATGGTTGGAGTTGGTTTACTTAAATTTAAATATATTTTAAAAAAAGAAATACTATATTTTTAAAAATTACCATATTGGTAGGTTTGAAATTAGATGGGCTACAATTTTTCCTTTACCACCAAAATAATCAAAGGGGGCGTTCATTTTGGAAATTTCAGTCAAAGTTGAATTTTGTCTAAAAGTGGCCTTTAACGTGTATGAACACGTTTGGTCACTATGGAAAATTGTTGAAAAACTTAAATTCTATTTCCAATTTAATTTTTAGCGATAGAATTAACAGATGATTGAAGCAAATTCCAATATTTCACTCCTCACTTAGGGAACCCAAAACCTAACGTTTTTATTTATTCACCTTTTAAAAACTAATTTCAAAACAAAACAAAATTTCATACTAGGGACACACCTATGAATATGACGGAAATGTTGGACATTTCCGCAGTCCTCACGTTTTGCCCGAACCTGCAGAAGTTGCGGATCCGATACAAGTCGGAGAGATTCGTCCAGAATGCAGGTTTGGCCGCTCTGCCCAATGATTGTTTTAAAAACTGGCAAGAGTGAGTTTTTATTTGTTACAAAAAATTCCAATGATTTCATTTCTAAAAATTTGTAGATTCAAGTTCCAAGCGTTCTCGTACGAAGGTGGCGAAGAACAAGACATGATTTCTAACGGTGACCTGCTCTTCAAGAAGTTCCTCTTGGGCGCCCGTTGCATCACAGAACTGAATTTTAAGAGATTTGGTGAGATCAGAGCGGCTCAACAGGTGTTAAATCAAGACCCCCTTTTCCTCTTCTGCAATTTAAAATATGTCGAAATCAGGATTCACACCAATGAGATGATTTCTGCTGTTGTGGAGGTGAATCAATATTTTATTGAATAACAATTGTTTTAACAACTTTTAATTCCACAGTTGCTTACAACTCTAATCAGTCGCTCGCCTTTACTGAGGGTAATTAAAAACTGGGGAAGAGTCCATCTGCAAGAAAATGACGAGCGAATCGTCTGGCTGCTTAAAGTAGCCAAAGCTCTTAGTATTAAATTAGAAATGTGATCTGTTTGTTTATTCAAAATAATAATTTCGTGCTGTTCCATAGAAATTCATATTATTAAATTATTTTTCTGATATCCAAAACTCAATGGTTATTATTATTTATATTTCCCGTTAATACAGAATAGTTTATTTTAGATCTTAAAAAAAAATATTTGCTAAAAATGAATAAAAGTCATCATTTTCATCAAATATTGGAGCAAAACAAAAAAGTTTTTTTAAAATAATTATTTATAATATGAGGACTTCTTTTAAGAATAATATTTTTATTATTGATCCCAACAAAAATCGGTCAATGGGATAAAAATCCAATATTACTTGTTTGCAGAAATTTGTTAATTATGCCAAAATGAGTTTTTGGTACTACAAGGACCAAAAATTATCCTGCTCGTAGCTTTTTACGCAGCAGGTGTTGCTTAATTCATTACCAGGCGTGCATAATTTGTAAAGGGACGCGTTTTATTTAAAATACAATTGAAAACGCTATGGGTCCTGGTCGTAGCCGCGGCGATCGGTATTTTTTCACGCCGCGCGTCTCTCGGTCTCTCTAACGATAAAAATGAAAAATAACGAACTCTTAGTGTGTGACCTTTGGAATGCCTCCCAAGAAACAGCGCTCACAATATATATGTAAATAACGCCATTTTATCTCCAACTTTTAGCTGACCCGAGTGAGTGAGCATCTCACATTATTATTATATACCGCATAATAAAGGAAAGTTCACCGAAAAAGGTTTCCAAAAAATTGTTTTTCATATAAAAATTATTTCGCTCTCCTTACAGAGATGTGCTTGGCAATTCCTTAAAACGACCCTTTTACCTTAACCAGAGCCGAAATAATTGCAGTCCGAGTTTAAATTTTAATTTTCTCCCCACGTATACAAATAAAATGTAAATTTAATCCATTTTCCTCTAAAAAATTTTCAGCCAAAAAATGCTCATTTATCATATTTTTTGGCAGACACGCGAGAGAGTTTATTCAAAAGTTTATTTCACTTTGATATGTTTATTGGCGATTGTGCGGATTTTGCTCGAAACACTACAATACAAATAAATCAAAGCAATATTTCAACAATCAGCGGCAGGAATTTTTGAGTGATTCCTATCTGATTTATGTCGAGTGGAGATATTTTATATTCGAATACGCCCAAGCCGATGAATTTTGTAAAGTGAAATCCTGCCTCATTTATTTTCATTAATGTTGATGACACTTTGACCTCTCCTGGCGGTTTAAAAGAGCAGGCCGAACTCCCATTTTTTTTTCAGATTACCTCCAGATATGAAGGGAAAAAGGAAAACAATATTTACGGCTTCATAAAAATATATGATCTTTTATTATGGTCGCTTTTATGTGCACGCAGCATGTATATCACAAAGCGCTTGCTTCGATTTATCACGATCACCAAGCCAGCATAATGCAAGACCGCGCAACAAGTGCTTCGAGATCGCGTCCCTAATAAGAAAAAAGGCTAATTGTATCACATTCACCGCCTAATAGGCTACGGTCTTCCAAACTGAATGAACACGCTGCTCCTTATTTGGATCAGAATGGGGAAAAAACTCAAAGAATATCAAAAAGGAAATTAGGCATAAGCCATAAAGGATTGATTTACTTAATCATGAAATTCATTAAATTAACTATAGGCCAAAATGGCAATTTATAAGATTTGCTTGATTTATGAAAAATTAAATTTTATTTGGAGGCAATAGTTTGACGTCAGCAATAGTAGTGCCCAATGATGATATATTGAAAGCATAAATTTAGTATAGTAAAAATCAGAATATCGACCGCATATTTAATTTATTTAACATATAATCTAGTGAATAAATATTATATTCATTGAATAAGCACTTATTTTGTTGATTTCTTAAAAAAATTAGGGTGTAGTTTCTACGAAGTGATAAATTGTGGTCAAAATGTGTTGCAATTGTGTCCTTTTTTATTTTAAAAATAAAATTTTACAATCGAAATTGGATAATATTAATTTATTTGTTGTATTTTCTGCCGAAGTTGACAAGGAATTTTAAATTGCAAAATAGGAGGATTTTTTTTATTAATCCAGCAAACTTCATTTAATTTTTTTAAATTGTCACTCGTTTGAACTTTTTTGTTTTGTTTTCGGGTTGAATTAATTAACAGTTTTACACATTTGGAGTTCATATTTTTATTTTCAAAAGACATTTTATGTACAATCTCATACAAATACTGGCCTAAGCACTCCATCTTCTTCTTATACAAAAAACTTAAAAGCATATAGAACACTTGACATTCTTACACGAGAATATATGTAATATATAAAAAACACATTATTTGATATTTCACAACCATCATCAATAAGTTAAAAAAATATATAATTATATGCATATTAGCTCGATCGATTGTGCACGACGTGAGCAGGTAAATCGCGTCGCGGCAGAGAGAGAGAGAGAGAGATGGAAAGAATGTATGACATGTATAAAAATAATAATACAACAATTGTTCATGGTTGTCAAAACCAAAACTGGCCTACTAATCCCTATCGACAGTCTTAAAACGCTGAAACAATACAAAAGAGAAAGAGAGACGTGGCATTCAAATAATTTTCTTTCCTCCAAATCACGACCACTATTCATACAAATAAAAAGTTCACATCGAAGGGGTCAGTTTTTTTAATGCTGGGGAAAATTTCAATTTCGTTGTGTTCAGTGGACGCTCGGCTGCCTCTTTCTGTGGTAATAAATTTAACGGAGCGGAAAACGCGCCGAGTTTAAGGAGGAAAGAAAGTGGTGACGCCACTACAATGTGATGCTATCCATGCAAATGCAGATTAGTTGCACCTGAATTAGTTCAAATTATCGCAAAACATCCGTCGGGTTAGTACATACGCAAAAAAGAGCACAGAGCAAAAATTTAATCTCATTTTTAATCAGTGCTGGAATACTTTAATCTTATGTAGGTGTACAGTTGGCTTCATTATTTTTGTTTCCAATAATCAAATGGAAATCAAACACGGGAGCGACTCAAATTTGGCTGTTCAATTTAAAAAAAAAAAGTTTCAACAATTTTTTTTTAATAATTCGAATTGGGTTAAAAAAAAGCAACTGGTACATTATTTCTGATCTGGGCCGGCCCGTCAGAAATTATTTCAAAGACTGCTTATTTTTTATTTTAAAGACGCACTTTGGTGAATTTTAAAAGCAGATAAAATTCTTGATGAAAAATTAGCACCCTTAAGGGGCTTTTGACTTTTTCCGACAAAAGTATTTCAACCTCGGAGAAGTCAATATTACTGACCAAACCTTGCTAGCACATTGCTTTTGTAAGTAAATTAATTAATCAGGATTAACTTCCCTTAATTTTTAATTAATTTTGCGGAAAAAGCAGATGAATATTATTTGTATCTAGTTTGAAGTTACCTTCTGTAAATGAGAAAGAATAAAATTGCCGGTGCGGGTCAAACTGTTTCAGATACAAATTTTTGTTTACCACAATCTATATTAACCTTTTCCAGGTTAGCCAATTTGAAGTTTTTCTATTCAAAATCTATTTCGTGACAAATTTTAAGATTGAATTTTTATCCTATCATTGAGCAAGTTTGTAATATAATTGAATCGCTCTCAAAAGTTTTGGACTTTGGGTGCCAATACGAGTGGTGACGTTTTGATTTCATTTGCTCAGGTCGAGAGGGGTGACCTTGGTGGCCTCCTCCTTTTTGGTCAGGACGACCGACTTGACGGAGAGGTCGATGGGCTCGTCCTGCCCCTCGGCCACCCCCGCCAGGGTGGAGAGCAGGTCGGGGTGGGGGGCGAGGAGTCGCAGGTGGTCCGAGGTGGCGGCGGCCGCGGCCGCCGGCCGCAGGAAGGGCGAGAAGAGGAGGGGAGGGAAGAGCGGCGACGGCGACTTGTCGTTGCTGCTGGACGGCGACGGCGACTTGCTGAACTGCTGGTCGTCGTCCATCAGCGAGTCGGGCGTGCTGCGGACGTCGTCGACGGAGCCCTGCTTCAGGATGTCGTCGGTGCGTTTCGAGGGCGGCAGGTAGGTCTGCAGGGCGTTTTGGTACATGACGGCGTTCTGCAGCAGCGACTGCGGACTCAGCGCCGGCTGCTGGTTGTTGTTGTTGGCCTGCTCCTGCAGGAGGCAGTGGATCTTGAACCAGTTGGAGCGGCGGCCGTACCGCGAGCCGCTCTTCGACATGCCCACCATCAGGCACTTGCGCAGCCGACACGCTTTGCACGAGGTGCGGTTCTTCCGGTTGATCACGCACTGCCCGCCGTTTTTGCACTCCGAGATGCTCGACAGGTTGTTGTACGTCCGCCCGAAGAAGGACTGCGGACACAAACAAAAGCAAGACACGTCATTAGTAAACATGGAAATCAACATATTTTTTTGAACATAAATTAAAATGTCAAAATATAAAAAATTTTCTAATCAAAGCCATACGAAATGCTTTTTTAAAATTCTTTTCAGAAAGTCATTGTTCCGGAGGAAACTACTCTTTCTTTTCCATTTTCCTGTATTTAGACTGGTATAAAAATCTCATTACTTTATACAAAAATCAAGTAGCATTTGCTTAAATAAAAATTACCCTAATTTTTTCCAAATTTTATAAAATTGCTCTGATTTTAACTTTTATTCAAAAGGTTTTTTTTCTTTTAAATATTATGTGATTATTTATTTGTTATGAAATAAAATTCAAAGTCCAATTAAATTAATTGAATTAGTGAATTAAATTGAGGTTCCAAAATAGTCATAAAATATAAAAGATAAAAATGTTGATTGACATATTAGAATGATAAAATTTGCAAAATTTCAATTGGCAGAGTAAACATTGAATGGATTTTTATGGAGAAAAACCTAAAATTGGGTGGTGCCTTCTGTACCACCAATAAAGGGCACAGGCCGACAAGACTTTGTCTTGGCCTGACCCTATAAAAAAAGTCTTTTATTATAAGAGATCTCATCTCATTTTAGTTTCAATCGTTGATTCTCAATCAATACAAAATACACAACTATCAAGGTTTCCAATAATTCCTTTGTAATTTATTTTGAAATATCTCAAAAGTGATTACGAAATAAATCGCAATTTCATCACAGTTGAAGTTTTCCAAAACGGCAGTTTGCTTTTTAAAAGCTTTTAGGTTCCCACGTCATATAGTTCCAGTTTCGAATGAACTCTGATCTTGCCTTTTTGCGAGAGCATCTAATTAATTGGAGTTTCTCTATTTCAGGATAAATCACCGAAAAGCATCTCAGAGCTCAGCGCGATTCCTTTCGCTCTCTCGAAATAACAGCGTGTCAGCCAAGCTGCTCTTCTCCAGCTCATCTGGACAAGAGAATTAAAAGAAAGTTGATTTTGTTTCGCTCGCGGAGATGGACAGGGACGAGAGCAATAATTCACTTTGTGTGTAGAAAACGGGATGACACTCGCGAGATTGCGTAGGCGTTGTACATATACGTGGCGCAATTACACACGGTACAATAATGAAAGTGTCATTCCAAATACAAACTTGTAGCAGGTGAACTATGTGCCCGGAATAGCAAGATCGAGAGAGACTCGGCCGTTTATTTAACTTTTTTTTCCAAAGCACCACCTGTCGCCGGGGAAAATATGCCGTCGTCATAATTATGTTAATGCAGAACAAAAAGTACGTATAGTGTGTATAAAAAATTATTAGACAGAGACAGAGAGAGCTGGATGGGTTTTGTTTGTTGATGAGAGCAGCAACTTTTTAGCGCTGCCATAAACCTTGGCAGTATATTGGGCTAACCTGCAGGTGACCTTTTCGTCGCTAATAGCGCCATATTTGTGCTCGGATCTCTCACAAAACTCACGAAAAACTGCTGCGCTGATAAGATTCGAGAGAAATAATAAATCGCGCAGGTGAAAGGCCGCAAAATCGCTCATTCGGAGAAAATTTTGCTACCATGCATATTCCGCGTATTGCAATTTCTCATCTCTGGTTAGACGCGCCGTGATGAATTAAAAACGAATTACTTTTATTGGATTCAGAACTATTTCTTCGAAAGAGAACGCGGAAAATATGTGAGAAATATATATAAATCTGGGTTAAACAAATGCACTTTTGACGGTGTTGAAAAGGAGCTTGGGAGATTGGATACTGATTTTCTTATAATTTGGGTGAAATATTTTTCAGCCCCTTCCTATATATTCCTAACTTTTTTTTCCTTGATCAAATATTTGAATTGGATTTAATACTTTTGAAAAGTATATATTTTATGTGTTCTTATTTTTTTATAATTCCGGTTTTTCCGGCCGTGATTTTAATTGACTCCATTTGAATTTGTTTTTTCCTGATTCTTCGAATTGTGAAATGCTTTTTATGCAAATCAGTAGATTTGTCACGAGGAAAAATTTTCTATAGATCCTCTCTGTCTGCTCCGGTTTGCGAAACACAATCTGTCGGCGGCGCGCCTCTTTTGCTCTCTCGCGTTTTTATTGATTCGAACACAGATCGTTATTTCCTCATCGCACGTGTCGACGTCACCGTCTTAAAACAACTCATCTTCATTAGCTTTTCGAAATCGAAGAATTCAATTACGCTTTGTTGTGCGACGAGTCAGAGATCAGTAAATTGAAAAAAAGACACCGAGCAGAGGATTAGTTAGTTAGTGTGATCTAATTGGAAAGTGCAAGGTGGGCGAGGTCGCTAACACTTGATTTAGAAAACACCGCTCTGGTAATGTTCTCGGTTCGTCATCTCTCGATAGCGCGCCGTGTCGTGAGAACCAGGTCACTTTTATTTGCATCACTTTTTGTTAAGAGCGCGCGGACAGGTTGCACGGGGATCATTCAGGCCCTCTACATAGTCGCGGCGATTGTCAAATTGAACCGCGAGATCGTGCAGCCGCCACAAAATGCAGAGCCTCCAAAGCGTGCTTTTAATAAAATCATAAGCAGACATTAACAGTTTATTCGCAAATTACACTGCAGAAAAATTCCACACGCAAAAAAGACATCATAAATATATTTCCTGATTTTCTGGGGATACTTTTCAAAGTATGAATTTATTTATTTATTATTTCTTTTTCTTAGTCAATACAAAAATTTTAAATTTAAAAAAAAAATGAGAAGAAAGGATTTACAAGAAGCAGGTTGAAATCTAAAATAAAGTGTTTGTTTGAAGAAGTTGACACTCGAGGAGATGATCATGGAAATGAAGAAATCGGGCTTTACCTCGTTGCAAAAAATTGTTTGGTTGGTACTTGAATTTGTTAGTTTTAAGATTTTTTATTTTTATGTTAAAATGTGGTTTTTTCAATTTCGCTGATTTTTTGTATTTTTCTTGCTCATTTTTCTTTGCAACGAGGAAAAGCCCGATTTCTTCATTTCTAAAATAAAGTGATTAAAATAATTAATTGTTGAAAAAACGAGATATTTTAACAACATTTCAGGATTTGAGCGATTAAACAAAAATAGCTAAAAAAAAGGGAATATACTTTTTCCTAATTTATTCGGCAAATATATCATGATCGACATGATGAGAGTTTGGATCTTTTTGTCAGTCAGAATAATAAATTAATGTAGCAATAAATTTGAAATTTTTGTGTAATTTAATTTGCACAATGAATAAAACATTTATAGGTTAATTAATTTTTTTAATAACAAAGGAGGAGTTAAATTTTTATAATGTGGAGTGCAAATTGGCGGAAATCGATGCGAAGAGTGCGGATAAAGCACGGCCGATTAGCTCTCAGTGCGGGCATAAAAAGTGCTCAAAAGAGAAAACGGACCATTCAGAAAGAAGCGAACCGCGTGAGAAAGTAAATGAGGAAACGGCGCTAAAATATATTTATGCGTCTGTGACCTGTGACAGATCCTTTCTTGCGCTCGCGAGGAGAAATTCCATTTTTGCGCCGACACAAGGAGCGACCGACCATTCAACTCTTTCTCTCTTTATGCGTTCGTTTGAAAAATCGCTTCTTCCCATCGTTCACTTGCTAAGGCTCTTTTTACAGTTCGGATCATCTCTCTCGCTATGTTTTTCTTTCTGAGCGAGCGGTATGTGTTGAAATTGCAAAAAGAGGAGCGGGGGAGGTGCGCAAGCACGATAGATATTTTTGCACAAATGTGAGAAAATCAACTCTAATGAGACGGCGTTGCGAAATCTGTGCCGATTCGCGTGTTTACCACTCGGTCGACTGAAAACGGCGGATTTGATTCTGTGCCATTTCATTGAGCATTGCGACTTTTTGCTCTAAAAAAAAGAAGGAAGTTAGTGTTAATCGGGAGGCAGATATGAAAATTACTTGTCAAATTTCATCCAATTCAAGTTCGCGAATTGATCACTTAAACCTTTTGCATTTTTCTTCAAAAAATACAAAACCCTCGGAAAATTTTTTCACCAAAATGTCAGGCAAAGACAAAGTATTTTCGGCTTGATCTCTTTTTTTAGGGCCCCTCAATTTTGCCTTATTTATTTGCAGTCCAGACCAATAAACAAATGTAAAAATGCAAAATAAAACAATTATAATTTTTATTAAATATAATGATTTTTCTTATTTTTCATTTGAACTGTTTTATTATTTTTGTACAATTTAGATAATGCAAAATAAATTTCATTTTTAAGATGACTTCATCATCCGTTGGAAAAGTAAAAAACGCAGCAACTGATCTCATTGCCAGGGAATTCCTTTTGCTTGTAACATTTTTCTTAACTGATTACGCAATTTGCGTTCTCTTGGTCGCGGCGCCGAGCTGCGCTCGAGAGTAAGTGTGATGATTAATTGAACATAATGCGGCAGCCACCAGGAAAAGAGATGGGTTTCTCGGCGCGATGATTTTCAAGGGCGATCAGGTCACCAAAGTCCTTGGCATTTGCACGATTTTTTTTTGCGCGACCAATTTAATCAGCTCTTTTTATTTTCAAAGGGATCCACAATGAGTGAAATTTCGCTTTGTGAACGACCGATGCGAGGATGACGCAATTGGAATGAATTAAATATTCAGGGCGTGATGGAATTAAAGACAGAACAAAGCACAAAGTGTATCGAAAAGCGGCCATTATCGTGTATATGAAATGGGTGCAGGGTGTGGGCGGACAATTGTGTTTTCTAGAGCATCTTTCACATATATGCACGGAGGAAGGAAGCATGGATCACTTGCCGCTCAATACGCCACACCAACAAACACCTCCGCACTCGACCCGCCGCGACCGACCGAAAATAAATGAGAATTTCCCCACACAAAATTTGAAAATGTAAAAAATAAATGATTGCCTTTCATTGAGGAATAAAATTGTGAAACAAATAATTGATTTAATACAAGAGGATATGAATATATAATTTTAAGTTTCCATTAAATTTGAAGCAAAAAATTCAAGGCCCCTTTTTGTTTTCTTGCAAAATTTAATATTAATAAACTTCAATGATTTAAATTTTTGGGTGTTTTTTAATATAAAAATAAAATCAATTTTTGAGCCATAAAAAATTCTGACAAGCTATTTCAAGTATAAATTTTTATTTTGTAACAAATAAACTGATTAAATTTTTTGCGCTGATTGGTCTATTTGCTTTCGGTTTTCCTTTTCCTGCGGTTTCGTTTGCAGAAGCGCGTTTTGTTGTGAGAAATGCGGCGGGTAATTGAATTCAGTGTGCGTTGAAAGGGAATTTTTTGGTCGGCTGGGACGCGACACGCTCCAATTCCCATCACGGCGCCCTTGGGCACTTGCACTTTTGTTTGATATTGCGTGATGCCTCCAAATGAGCCATTATCATTTTTATTTCTCATCCTTGGCTGCTTAGGTGCCTCTCATTGCATCCGACCGTGCACTGCCTCTTTGCTCTGCTAACACATTTCGGGCCCGCTATTAAATTATTTATTTTTTTTTGTATGCGCCCCGAGGCTGTTTGCAAAATGTTATATAAAATAAAACGCGCTTATCTATATAAGGCAGGATGGGAATTTGAAATTTCAAGCAGGCCTCCTAAATGGGCCACATATTAATTTTGCCACCGAATTGCCCGCCGCCAGAGAAAGACGAGTCATACCACACAAAAGAGCACCAGAGGACGCTAATTTTGTCAAGGTCATCACGCATGAGAGAGAGGATGTGCACAACTGATTCAGATTGTTCTCATTTCACAGACGGCTAGGGGCTCGCAAGGTTTCGCAAGATTCACATGCGCATAAAAAAAGTAAATAAATACACCAGCAATTTGCTGCAGAGTAAATAGAAATTAACAACAGTTTAACAAAATATTAAATTACAAAATTGGACGGTTTTACAATAATTATCATAGGTTTGAGACCAAAATAAAAAATGATTAATAAAGATTAAATTTGCTATAATAATAATAATAAATTCAATCAATTTATAGACAAAACCCTATAAAAAAAAGCAATTTTGGTTTGAAATGGGGGAAAGCAAGTTTCATCGTTTAGTTTGTTACTCGCTCAAATTTTGATTAATAAATTTATTTTAAAAATTCATTATTTTGAAATTAATTTTAAAACTTCAATAATTAAAATTTCACACTGATTTCCCCAAGTATTTGTTTAGTAAAAATATTAAAAATTCATCTTAATCATCAAAATTTTGTTCTTTTAATTTGAAGAACTTGCGCCGTGTTTTGAAAATTTTGATTCTCATTGCCTTTGATGACCTATAACCGTTAACAACAATTGAAAGGATGTTGCCACACAATTCCAATTCGATTTGCAACGCTTCAGCTTGTGTTTCAGGTGATCTATAATTAGCGCAGATTCATCAATCACGCACGGGCCCTGAGATTCTCCGAATTGGCCTCCCCGCCGATTTTAATTGTTAAGTTCGAAATATCAGAAATGCTTTTAGGAAAAATCAACAACTCTTATAAATGCAAATTGTTCAAATTTTAAGCTGTAACCTTTAATTTTCATAAGTTCAGGACGGGAAAAATGTGAAGGAAAACAATTTGGAGCGCATAAACGCAATGACAATGCTCGACGTAGGTCGCTCTCGCGGCGAATTTAGAGGAAGGTCGGATTTAATTGCATTGTTATGTAAGGTTAACAATGCAAGCGAGTGTTGAGTCACAAAGGGCAGAATAAGAGCGGAAGCGGCCGAGCCGGTGCAGTTCGTCCGAATAATGCAAAACTCACCGATTGTCGGCCGCTTTCGCTGTTCAAAGAGTTTCGCACTCTGATAAGCACGGCTCTGACGTAACCTCATAGACTTTTGTTTTCGACGCTCGAGTGCATCGGAAATCGAGAGCAGCTCAATAAATTGTAACATCGGACAAACAAAAACCAAATTAGGTGAAAATAAAAGAAGTGAAGCTCACCTTGCATCCTTCGCAAGTGAAGGCCCCGAAATGGAATCCTGCGGCCGCCTCGCCGCAAACTTTGCACGTCTGGTTCATACCTGGAATTGGCGAAAATTAGAAAACTCATTGGACAAAACGATGGGGATCCGATCTATTTCAATATCAATTGCAAGTTGCAAAAGAAGTGTGTTGTTTTTTATACCAGATAGTATTTCGGTGCAATAAAAAATGGTTAAGATTTTTTTGAAACCCAAAAATTATATTTTATAGATTGAATGTTAGATTTGAAAGTCAATTTATTTATAAAAGTTTAAAAAAATCAGAGTTTTAAATTTATTCCTAAAAAATGCAGTAACAGTTGAAAATAGATTTACCGAAATTAACAAAATTGCCTAATTTAAATATTTAAATATAAATCCTTGCTTCTCTTTTTCAAATTTCAAATTTTTGTTTCAACTGAGGTGAATAAATATTAATAATTTAATTCGATATTTCCCACAAATTAGATAAGATCTGCCAAATAAAATTTCATATTTCTCACGGAGATGAATTTTATTTCAAATCAATTTGCGCCTGTTTAAATCAATTAAAAAATACCGCATGTGCGCCATAAAACGAGATCGGAGCCGAAAAATGCAGCACCTAGGGCTAACAAATTGGATGAGAACGGAATTAAATCGGTACGTGATCCCATTATGCCTGCCTGCCGATACACAAATCTCGCGTGATCCCAATAATAGTAATAAGAGAGGAGCTTGGTGCGTTTCGCCGCTTTTCACACGCTCTGGTCCAGCAAGTGAGGCATCAGCCGTCGGCGAGCTCATTTGATAATATGACTAATACACTCTCCCAAACCATTATGCTCAACAATGCAATAACAATTTTCCCCCTAACTAATCAGAGTGCGGTTTTTCTCCAAACGATACCAAAAAATATATAAAATTGTAGATCTCGTAATTTGCTTTCTGGAGCGGCGGCTTTTCGAGCTTTCTGGCGTATTTTTTTCACTCATACGGTGCGGTCAATTATTTGTAATTGGACCGAATTGAAAAATATATCAGAGGAAAGAAACAAAACACCGCGCGTGACTGCTTTAACAGATTTCGTACAAGACAACGAGGAGAGAAAAGAAGGAAAGATGAGCTGTGAATTGATGGAAGCTTCCGGATCTCCAAACAAATCATTCTTTTTCAGTCACGATCACATACACAATTTAATTTCAAAATTTTCCACCTTAAAAATTAACAAAAATATAACATCAAGGGTGGCAAGAAACAGAAAAAAAGGAGAAAAACTGATTATTAAACTTTATAAATTAATTTAACAAAAAATATCAGAAAAATTTTGTTATTGATCAAAATCAACTTTTTTGAATTTTATTCCGTCCTTTAAAAATTTCAGTAATAAAACCAAGGAAATTATTAAAATTTAATTTGTGTCTTCATCAGTTTCTTAATTTGATCCAAAATTGACTAATTTTGCCATCCCAATCCACATAAATAAAAACTTTGATAGCTCAAATTGAACCAAAAAAGTAGACTCGCTTCTTTCTTTTGTCGTTGTCAATCAAATAAATTATTTTTTCGCCGCGGCGGCACGTCCGAGCCGCGAAAGTGGTTCCAGCAGGACCTGTTTGTTCTGTGCAGTGCGTCTATCCAAAAGGGGTTCTGCTGCTGCTGGATCGGACACAATAAAAAGCAGATGGGAAAAAACGCGCAGTCGCGCCGTCGAGGCGATTTTGGCGAAGGCGCCGACCCGAGCGCCAGACGAGTTGCCCAAAACGGGCTCTCAGGGTCAAAGTGGAATTGTTAATTCGCATGTAATTTTCCGAAAAATTTCCAAAAAAAATATATAAATCAGGTGATTAGTGGCGGGATTAAAGTCGGCTGGGAAAGTGGCTCGCGAGATGAACTGCTTCTTCTAAAGTGTAAGGTCAAAAAGCATGCACACATGTATTAATATGTGGCTGTTTCTCTTTTTCATCTGTGTGTGTGTCGAGAGCGGGATAACGGGATTGCAGCAGAAGAGAAGAAGATCCGAGAGAGGATCCTCATCAGTGAATAAAGGCAGGTGACTTATTGCTCCCATGCAGGCAGGCAATAATGACAATCGGCCGCGCGCGGATTATGACCTTAGCAGCCGACACGCATATATCTGGGTCTCTCTCCGGCCAACCTGTTGCTTTTTATTTCAACTCGCCTCTCTCGCACTATGTATAATTCTTCTCGGCGCACACCATAAATCGCTAGAGCACCTTCAGTCCGAAAAGAATTCATCCAAATTTATTCACAACTTATAAGCTTTTTTAAAATTAAACAAGAGTACAAAAATTCTTTTTTTTTCTTTGAAATATTTGGAACGGCGTCGTAAAAATTTCCCGCTCATGCTTACGTTCATTAATTTTTATTAATTCAAGAAGCCTACGTGGAATAAATTAAACAATTCGAATTTTTAAAAACCGTTTTCCAAAAAAAGGGGCTTTGGGTTGAAAAAGTCTCTAAAATGGTGGCAGGCTTTTGTTTAAATTTCGATTAAAGCTCAATTTTATATTTTATCTATTTATAATTTATTTGCTATAGGATAAATTAGCCTCTCTTATTGTCTGCTTATCAGATTTTATTTCACCCAAATTTTTCATTTTATTTTTACCTCAATTTTTTCAGGTTGCTATGAATATGAAATTTTCATACATTTTGCGACACATTGCGGCGACCCGATGGTTTCTAAGCGTCTTTGTTCGGTCACCACATCTCTCGACAAAAAAAAAGGAGAAAAAAATCAGGAGAGAGAGAAAGAGCTCATTGTTTAAAGTGTATCACTCGGTGGCCTTTGCGACGGACCAAATTCCTGCAGGTCGATCTGCACGAGAGAGGAGTTTGAGAGATAAATAAGGCCTCCTTCTCTCTTTACCTTTGTAATTCGCAGTCGGAGCAAAAGGTAAGGTGCAGCGCGGCGAGAGATCAATTTTAGCCTCGTGAACTCTGCAGCGAGAAAGAGCTGCTTCTTCTTCTTCTTCTTCTCTATATATATACGTTTAGCTCGTGTTTTACATTCAAGGTTGCTGACGAGCTAAATTTGCTCTCCCAGAGCGCGCGCAATATTTCCCTTCGTTTTTTTTTTTAACTTCACCTTTATTATAAAGCAACGAGCAAAGGATGGGCGTGCAGAATTGTGTGTGTAACCTTTATTAGACGCGACTTTCAGCGTTGGGCCGCGATCGATTTTTTTCGCCTTTGATCTTGGCGAACATTACCAAATGATTCCATCAGATATGAAAACTGCCTTTAATCTAACACACAGGCGAGACGAGGAAATAAATTGCTTTAATTCCTGACAGAACCTCAAAATTTTCAGGTAGAAATAAATTTCCAAATTCAAAAATGTTAAAGAAAACGTAATTAATTAAATCTGGAAATAATTTTTTACTTATATGCAAATTTTAAGGGGTCCTGTCTCAATTCGGGTGAGATAAAATTTCATTAAACAAATTTTTATTGAGCAGATTTTGAGGGAAAATATACTTTTCTGCATTTATGAAAAAGCTGATGAGATTTTGTTAATTTCTTTTGATGAAAACCAGAGTAAAAATAAAAATGAAAGTTGCGTGTGCTCTTGTTAAAGCCGACCAATCGTCGTTTCTCTTCAAAAGGCAGTCCCTCCTTTGAAATCAGAGCAGATATTTCCAATTAAAGTCCTGACACAGCAGTCCTTAGTTTGTATAGTTGGCAATTAATTAATTAATTAATTCTCGTTTCAACATCGCCACACTGAACGCTTATGGCGTCTGAAGTTTTCTGTTAAACGGAAAAAATGGATAATAATCAAAAATGAAATTCCAAAAATTTGAAAAGTTGAAAAATAGTTCCTTCTGATAATTCTTTATAAAAACTAAAAACTTGATGAGAATGAACAATTAATTTCGAGGCGCCTCTTTTTGTACATTGAAAAAAAAACTTTTAATTTATTATTAATTTCACTAAGGTTCATTTTAAGGGAAATAATATAAATTTTAGTTTATGAGTCAACATGATCTTTTAATTTTATTTTAACTGTACCTATGTATTAAACTAAAATTATGCTAGATTCTAAGAGCGCATTTTTGGACGTTGAAGATTGCAGATTTGATCAAAATAATCCGGCAGATGCGACTCTCCGAGAGGAGAAATGAAAGTAATAAATATTTCACGTTTATATAGTTTGGAACAACAATAACGAAATTAAAACTGCCTTGTTGTACAAATCGGCAGATTATCTCCGTTGCTTTTTGGACAGAAGCTGCGATATCGATGTGTGCGATTGTAAAAAAAAAAAAATATATATATATAATCTGGTGTGTGTGATCGGCGCGCATGAAAAGAGCTGGAGCAGTATATATCGCGCGGCAGTTATCTCCCGACACATTTTTTTCCTCTGTCGGCGGCGGCGGCTGAGGCGCACGTAGTTGGCTATGCTCTTTTATGCCGCAACACATACATGTATACAATTGCACCGCGCGAAGAAGTAAAGCAGAGAGTCATTAATCATTGCACAATCACTCCGATTTATACACACATACCCAACAACAGCGGATTCTCCACCATAGAGAGACGGCGGAAAAAAAATTGAATTTAATAGAATTAAATAAAAAAAATCGCTGGTTTTGATTAAAAAAAAAAAACAGATTTGCATGAAGAAAGAACTAGATTGTATAATCAGTAGTTGAAAATTTGGAGCCAAATTAAATAATTATTTAAAATTTGTTTAAAATTTTTGGGAAAAACAGCAGAATTATTAATTATGTCAAATTGAAGCTGGATTTTGTAAAAATATTAATAATGAATGTGATATTTTGCTTGATTTTATAATAAAATCAAAATCGGACGAATTGATCGAAGTCTTTTTATGATAATTGGGTTTCAAGTGTCGAAAATTTGATCTTGATATATATCAAACCGCTCAGGGCAGATCTGCTTCTCGCGCCTAAATTGCCGTAAAAACTTGCACTCGCGGCACGCGATTGTTCTTTTTTTGCGCTGCACTTTTCGCAAAAGGAATATTTATATAGATGATATATAAAGCAGGCTAGTTTTTGCAACCAGGAAAGATTATATTACGTTCT